GTGGGATGGGGGGGGGGGGGGGGGGGGGGAAGAGGGAGTGACAGTGAAAGGAGAGAGGTAAGAAGCAACTGAAAAGGATATGAAGATCCTGAGAGCCAGGCATTCAGACTAGCTAACATAATTTAAAATGGTTCAACTATGTATCACTGCAAATAGAATTCTGACAAAAAGAAAAAAAAATTATATATATATATATATTGCTATGTTGTTCAACTCAACTAAGAGGTTCAAGGTCTTGTGAGAGATGGTTCTGGCAGAAGCACACCTCCCAGCTCACAGCAGATTAAGGCTTTTGCTTTCCTGATTTGGAAGGAAAGGGTGCTGAAGCAAAAGGATCCCCACTAGGCAGCTCTGTAGTCCTGGAAGACAGAGAAGCAATAGAGACAGATCCTGCTATAGCCTGTCTGTTTGTCTGAGAGACCACTTTGTAAGCAGCTATAGGTTTGACTTCGAGACCCTGCCCATCTTCTGGACTGTAGTGACGGGAATATTTTGACAAGGACTGTGGACGGAAAGGCTTGTTAACCATTGAGCCCAGGATGGCTTCCTGGGGGAGTGCATGTCCTCCTTGGTTTCTCTCACTGGGCATGCCACCGCGCTCCTTCAGCACGCATGTAGGAGGGATGCTTTCCTGGGTCTCCATTGCTCTTACGGAAGAAGGTGGAAGATTAATTGGCTGAATAAACCCCATGGAAGGATACTGAGATCTAGCCAAGGCAGTGGACCCATGCATTGCTGCATCCAGGCTTTGGAACATGGGATTAATCACATGTTGGACATCACCTGTTTGACTTACGAAAACAGGCGATGCAAACAGTTCCTTAGGAACACTATGAGAAGTCAACTCTTCCATGCTTTTTCTTTTAGTGAAAGGTGCTCTCAGAAATACATCTGCCTCTTCTGGATGTCTGAGAGCCATGTTGCCCTTGGAGATGAAAGGAGCTTTGGTAAAGACATCCACCTCATCAAGCACTTTTCTCGAGCTTCGGAAAGGAGCCGTGGCAAAAACATCCGGTTCATCGAAAACCTCACCCGTGTGCGGCTGGAAGGCAGGGAACAGCGTCTCCCCTATTCTACTCTGGGAAGACTGGGAGTGGGAATCTTCTTTGGAAGCCTCATGTCTTTCCTTCGGCACAGACTGCAACTTGCAGGTTTCCTCCTCCTCTTCTGAATCCATCAGTAAAGGCCTGGACCCACTACAATCCAAAATATCTCCTTCGTGATCTGTCCCCTCTCCTTCGCTACTATGGAAGGAGCTGTTGCTTGAAGGACCATCTCTTGCTAAGTAGTCCAAGTCTGAGTTGTGCTGAGTTTTCACCTCTAGTGTCTCAGACTGACCCTTATACGAAGGGAGTCCATCACTGCCAGAGGGTCCTTTACAAACCTCAAGAGCTACAACTGGATATAGGGCTGGATCTCTCCGCAGACCTACAAAAGCAAGAAGAGCAACGTTATACAACGGGCTACATTTCCTTAGTCATTTAAAAAAAAAAAAAAAAAAAAGGAAGATACTTATTACACAAGGCACGTCATGATGTTCAGATTTAAACCACCATCACGCATGGAAAATGGGAAGGAGAGGGAGAGCAAACGAGAAAATAAAAATGTCAGGGAAGTTATTTACTACACACAAATTAAAACACAGTTTAGCACTGCCTCACAGTTCAGGGACACCACAAGTACAAGTTTTTAGAAAGAGATGGAAGATGCAAGACACACGAATGGTCACACTCAGCCTTCTCTCAACACCATTCCACGAGTTTTTTTGTGCCACCCACAACACGACCATCAGAGAGATTCTTAATTCTTAACATTGTTGCCTGGAGTAAAAGCTCCAATAAAAAGACTGCTTCTGTCGTTTCATTCAGCATTGTTGCCTATCGACTCAGGAGCACCCTATAAGCAGACTTACTGCTTGGCATAGCCTCTGTTTTTGTGAGCCATCTCACCGAAGTGGAATTATGCTGCACATGCGTGCATCTAAAACACATAGGGAAGCCTAGCAATCATTCAAACAACATATACATTTTTCAGAAAGAAAAAGCGTTAGTCTATAGTTTTTAATGAAATTGTCAACTACAGCAGCGTTGTTTTAAGCCACTGCAAGACAAAGCGCTCTTAAACAATCCGGACAATGATTTCAAGTGAAAGACCTAACATAACTACACCCAACTGGCTTGCTTTTGTGTTAGTATAACACACCAGTGCAGGGAGAGGCTTGCTATTCTGCTGTTCTCCAGTTACAAGAGCCCAAGAGGTTTTTTGTTAGTTTTTTGCCTTATGACTCACACAGACAGAACAGAAGATATCTTACCTTCAAAGAACTATTAGCAGGTTAGAAGTATGTCATTGGACTCATGTTAGCAAGAGGACAGGAAAAAGGCACGTGAAACTAGGCAATATGAATTGCAAGAAGAAAGGGAGTAAGGTTCTTTGGCAGCTGGTATCCACTGAACGACGGGACAAGCAACGCACTAACCAACCAACCTTGCCGTGACAAAACGGCATCATCATCGCATCCAAACTCTACCCAAGTTAAAAAGCTCAAATTTATATACCCGTTGCCAGCCTCAAGGCATTGTTTCTTAATCAAGTCTGTTGATGTATAAGATTTAACCCATTCTCAGTCACTTTTCATAATTAAAGACACAGTACTCATTCATTAGGCATCAAAATTGTCATTTATTGGGAAACTATTCACTTAGATACATTACACTGCTAAATAAAGACAGTGTAGATATGTGAACATTTTGTAAGTTACTCTACAAAAATACTATCTATCTTTCCTGAAGCCTATGTCGTCCGCAATGGTTTAACCTTAGATGCTCATCTCGGATTACAGGAACAAGAAATTTGTCACTGTTTTCTTCCAGGAGGTTGGTTATATTTTTACCAGATATTATTGTGAGGTTTTAAGAATACAGGCTGAAGCAGAGCAAGACCAGTTGCCATATCACAAAAATGCCTTTGAATTATCCAGTCCTCATTGAAATATAGTGTACAGGAAAACAAGAAATGGAAAAAGGCATTTATGACAGTCAACATTATGCCAATGCAAACCAATGACCCGCCCACTTGTCACAAGAATAGCATTCAAAGCACAAGTTATTTGATCATTTAAAAAAAAAAAAACACACACAAAACAAAAAGAGTTATTTGCATTAGTTGGTGTCTATATTTATGTAAATGATGACATTTAGGACAGAGAATAAGAGAAAGCCCCAACTGGTTTAGGACAGTAGCAACATAGAACTTGGAGGCTGTGTATGATGGGCAGAATGGTTTATTTTCAAAAATGACTTTCTCCAGTGCTTTCTTATTCTCTCTATCTGTCATAAGCAAGAAGGGCCCTGAATGCATGGAAGCAATCTCCTCCCCTGCAGAGGCCATTACTCTGGAAAAAATGAAGTGATGCTTAGGCAGAATCTCATTCTGGCCTCCCGCTAGGAGCTGGTTTCACTCAAAGCCACTAGGCAATACAGCAAGAACAGGAGGGCACCTGAGAAGTTGAAAACAACAAAAAAAGGCAACAGCAAGGTTAAAACAGAAATGCTAAGATGCAGTGGGTTACCTGAGGAGTCTGGGGATTTGCTAATGGGAGAGAAGCACCATCTATACTCCCACGTTATTAGTCTCCAGTATTCAAGGAAGACCTGGCTTTCAGACACCATCATACAGTAACTGATCTCAGGCACAGCTTTCCTTTTCAGGTAGATGATGTTGGGTTCCCCCCATTTGTTTCACCAAGGGGGAGCAAAAAGCAAAGGGATACTTCCAGGAAGAGCTCTGGCAGCACTGCTACTGCTAGGGAGACAACATTATCCGATGTCTGGGTGCGTGTCTGACTAGAAAGTGGCTTAGTCCAACACATCTCCTCTTACAGATAACAATCATATGTTTAAAAAAAAATCTGACCTATGCTCAAACACTGAAAAGTCCAAAAAACAAAACAAAACTTGGTTTAAAGGCTGGGTTAGAGTTAACGAGACAAAGTCAGTGGATTCCCACAAGCAGCCACAGCTACAGGCTTTGCAGCCGAACACTTTGGAGGCCCATGCAACCAAACTATTAGAAGGACAGATAGCTTAAGTGAGCCAAGGCTGATAGACAGTTCAGCACGTCTGAGATCAGAGACCAATGAGACTGATGCACTCGAGGGACCGTTTCACATTAAAGGAATGGCAGTTTTATTTGGTGTTACAGTAGAAAAGAGAAAGGGTCACTCCATGAATCATTAAGAGCATAAAGGACAAATCTTGTGAAACTAAAACAGCACTGATTTGTTTGAAGCCCTGTCCATTCTGTTATGACTCTGCTCCCATTCACACCAAAGGCACACTATGCAAGAGGCCTGAAAAGGTGCACGCAGATGGTTTGCTTTTATGAACACAAAAAGCACCCACAAACCCTTGTGCAAAACGGGATGCTTCTTCTGTAGAGGCAGTATTTCCTAACATCTTCCTATGCCAAGGTGGACACTGCCAACGGGTAGCTGCCTCTTTTGTCCCCTCTTCCTCCACACTCCCGAGATCTACGCGTTACTTCACTGGGAAGCATCCCTCATTTGCTCAATCTATGCTCAGGTTTTAAAGCATGCACGCTAGTAATGGCTGCAAACTTCACTCCTTAGAATATTTACAAACGTTTGAGTTTATAGATTAGGTTGTATCCCTGTACAACATTCATACGGAAATTTTTATTCAAGGGTCAGACACACATACTAAAAAAAATGATTCCTTAACTATACTCAGGCTCCCCTTCCGCAGCGAGAAGTTTAAAAATAAATCATTCAGTACACTAGGAGTACCCCTGCTTAAACATTCACAATAGACAAGAGATTGTTCGTGTGGCTTATGAGAGGTGTAGACAGCAGAACAGTTCCTGCTTTGAGACCAGTGCTGTTTGTAAAGCAACACAAAAAGGGTGTGTTAAATGTATATAGCAACCTAAAGAGAAGACATCTTTTTCCTTTGAGTTAGAGCATTGACACACACCAAGTTCCTGTCTTTTACGAAAAAGACTGCACAGAAGTCGCAAGGTACTGAGATGACTGCCAAGAAAGCCAGAGAACATTTACTGTCCCTTTTACAGGGGGCTCCAAGGAGGCAGATCGGGCACCAAGAGGTGGATCATTTCTGGATCAGAGCCCAAAACAAGACCCTCAAAGGAGACAGAGGCGTTCCAGAGTCTACAGCTGCTTTTCCACCAGATAACACTCCTGATTTCACTCGGCCAAAGCCAGGAAGGTCACAACATATGGTAACAGGTAGCTGAGAATCAGCATAATTACTAGTATGCAAGGTAACTAGTTTGGCATTAACAAAGGGTCAGAAGACTTCTTGTTCCTTCATTCAAGGACAGTGAAATTTTCCCCCGTATTCTGGTCCCTAGGAGCAATGTCATTAAATAACCGTACAGAACTACCCCACATAGTGCTTTTACTTTGTAAATGTTGAAGCAGAACATGAAAGGTCAGTGCCATTATTATTTCTTCACTGGACAATTCAGGCAGCAAAACAATGTGGTTTTGCCTAAAGTCACTCCACAGCAGAGTGGCAGGTCCAGGAACAGATCTAGGCTCCTTCAGTTCCACAAGCTGACTAAGCCACATGACCCCAAACAGTACGGAATTTAGTGATCTATTTTTGGCACACTTCTACAGTCATTTACACCATGCAAAGTGAGACAAAGCAGGTGTTAAACACTAACTGCGCACACTAAATGCCAGCTATTTAACATCAAGACTGACCTATTGGAGACAAAGCGCATCTTTCGCCCTCATTCTCACTGTGCAGAAGCCAAGCGTTAACGCAAAATACAGTCTTTGACTGCTTAAGAAAAACACAGGGTAAGTTAACGAGGGGTTACATTCCCTCGCCTGTGGAGGCCAGGAGCACGAGTCTTAAACGTCACTCCTGTCCTTCAGACAACCCCAGAAGCCAGCCAACCAACCCACCCTTTCTCCCGAGGAGCAGTGAGCAGATTCGACACTGTGCATGGATACTGTGCTGCTTTCCATAGGCTTGGCCGTATCCAAAGTGCAACTGCTTTTGGTTACAGAAGTCTAGGACATGGATGGAGAGGGAGTATTTAAAAAAAAAAAAAAAGCCTTTTTTTTCTAATCCCCATTTGCTGCTGGACTGAAATAGTTTAAACATGCAGTGCCCACACCTGAGTGAAAAAGTCACTGGAGCTAATCTCAACTGAGTATTTATAACCAAGTTAACCAAGAAGCCTCATTTCCCAGCGCATTCCCTCATGTTACATTCACACTTTCCACACATCCACATTAGCTACAACAGTAAGTTATTATACACAGACATGCACATGCACATCCATCACACTACGGGCTTGCTCATGCTTTCTGTAGTCAGAGGCCTGCATGGCCCACATTTTGTGTTTGCTGGGGTACAACCTGCTAAACTGTCTTCTGTCTGAAACGCATCTGAGCTTTTATTTCAGGAATGCAGGGTGTCTTTTGTGGTCTTGGAAAGTCACTTGAGGCAAAATCCTATGAGGTGCCAGGCTCAAGAACATACTGGGGATAGCATCACTTGAGTGTTGGTTTTTTTGTTTTTTGTTTCTTTTTTAAAAAGTGGGAACACAGCCACTGTCAGGCTTTACAAGTAGTCCCCTCAAAAAATAGATAATTTTATTCCTTGAAGAGATTCTCTTGAGTTGTCACTTGCATGCAGCAAATGTGCTGTTAGAGGATGCAGGTTTGCCATAAAGTCACCCCTGCAAAGATTCTTCCACCCATCTTGCACAGACTTTTCCAAGAAGCCCAAATTTGGAAGTTGCACTGTGACTACAGTATCAGGGAAGTCCTTACAATCCTACAAGGTCACAAAGAAGCCAGTGAAGACTTAGTCAGCCAGTATTAAGGCAGCCATACCTTCTGGTTTTGGGACAGATGTTCCAGAGACAGTGGACGCTTTCAGCTACAATGCCAATTTGCTGATCTCCAAGTTGCGGGTATTGCACTTTTCCTAATCCAGTTGAAAAAACGGAGATTGTCAAAAGGTAGGGGGGCAGTTAGAAACCCAAGTCCACTGACAATCAGCAAGAACTGACATTTATCTTCCACTTGTCACTTAACTCCTCACCACCCCAAAAGCAGCGTTCATCTTGCATCCAAAGCACAGCCTTGACGTGAAAGGGAAATCACTCTCCCCGCACAGTGGTTGCATTAGAAGGTAACCTATTAGGAGGATCCACCGCAGCAACTAACGCCAAAAACAGCACGACAAGCTCAAGCCTGTTTGCGTATAAAGGCTCCTCTGTCATCCTGACATGACTAAACAGCACATATGAGCAGAGAGGAGAGTCGCTCCACTGCGATTTTGCTGACTGCACGTTAGTATTATGTTACTTAGTAACACCTAACCTACAACCCTTAAGAGGGGACACGAAACAACTCCCAGGATTTCCAACACGCTTGCAAACATAGCTATAGGAGATGACCGTTCTTATGCATTACTGTAATGCTGCATACCAAACCTCTTCCACGTGCACGTAGGATGAAAATTCAGCTTGTTCCTTCACAGCAGCAGCTTTCCCACACCTCCTTAACTTTTGGGCAGCATGGCAACGCTAAACTAATGCCTGCAGGACAACCACATTTTTGGATAGCTTAAAATGAATCCCACGTATCTGCCCGTTTCCCATCTCTTGCATTTTCCATTCATTTCACAAATAAGAGGGAAGTCTTTTCTGATGAACCAGGTCTAAAAATAAACATTTCTAAAGATGTAAGCTTCCGTTGTATCATATTTCCCACCCAAATCCAGGAATACCTACTTGAAAAAGCAATAAAAGGGACATTCACACCTGCTCATTTAATAGCATTATTAACAACCCAGTGCATTTATATTTTTTCCAGAACCCTTGAACAAGTGCTATTAGATTTAAAATCTTAAACATTCTTTAAAAGTACTTTAATTCACAGAATTCTTTGTTCTAATATACAGTAGATGGTTACTTTTGTAAATCCATTCTCTTTTCATATATTCTCAGTATCTGACTATACAATAACTTTCTATCTATAGCTTCATGTTATCCAGTCCAGCTTGCCTGTGCTTTAGGAATATAAAACAAAAAAAAAAATAAAGTTCTATCCACAATTGTACTAAGGTCATTTCCATAGTTCTCATGTAAAGCTTCTCTTGGAAAGTGCAGTATACACATGTAATGATACAACACATTTAAGCAATACTTTTATTATTAAGTGTAGGTTTTAAAAGAAGAGTAATGGAGAGCAGACATGATTGATGGTAGTTCTATTTACAGAATTTGTTAAACTAAGTCTCAGGGTGGGGAGAGACTGGAGATAGGAAAGGAGCAGTCACGAACTTGGATTTCTTTCCTTCTTAGCAAGAGGTCAGTACATACATATTTCAGTCGTTCATACTTTCGCACATGGGAAACTGCACTTTTACTAATACAGCTACATACACATACACAAGGTTAGCGGTAAGCTATTAATTATTCCACTACAGAGGAAGAGTCCTTCTGTTCAGAAAGAGCTTTCAAATACATGATAGAAATTCCGGACTTCATAAGCCAATGAAAACAAGTTTAGCATATCCAGCTAGTTGACAAACTAAGCATGTAAAGGGAAAAGAAAAGGTAAAACCCATCAAGTTGTAGCAGCACTTACTTCAAACCATCTGAACCAAGTGCATGCTTGTTCCACAAAGACTGAAGAGTGGAATAAAGTCTACAGTAATCTTTGTCTACTGAAAAAAAGGTTCCATACTTAACCGTTTTGCACTATATGCAGTTACAAGAGAAAACAGGGAACCCAGAACAGATACCAGATGCTTGACTAAAACCAGGATTAAAAAGGAGACAAACAACTGCAGGACAATTTGTTTCATACACAATTTACAGTAGGTTTGAGGGGATTTTCTTCCAGTCAAACACAGAAATCACAGAAAATACATCTGTTGCTGCCACAATGCCCTTTTCAGCCAAAAAAAGAAAAAATCCAACCAAAAGCTCATCACAGCCATACTCACATATATTTGGTTCAAAATTTTTTTCTATTTCACTTAGGGTCATTTTTGCAGCTTTAACAATCTGTTTTTTCTTTTTCTTTTTTTTTTTTTTTCCTCCTCCTCTCTTCTTCAAGGAAGCGCAGTTCATTCACAAGCAGAATTGTTAAACAGCAAACCATTAGTTGGGGGCAGTCCGGAAAACTCTCTTCATACGCACCATCACCAGAGGTACTACGCAAGACTAGTTCAGGGAAATTCAGTGCTTTTTCCTCCCCTGAAGCATATACTGGCAATTTAGAAATAGCAGCTCTCCTAACCTCTATTCTACAAGAGAGGATGCCCCTCTCTATTTCACCTGTCTCCTTCCTCCTGCCCATTCATCAGAAAAAACAGGAACAAAACAAAAACCAAACCCAAAAACACAAATGCAAAGATTGAAACACAGTTGTTCACACACTAGTCTAAGGAGAAAGGAGTCTGTTTTACGCAGGGATCATACATCAGCTACAACTATCTAATTCATTTACAGTTAGGCTTTCCATGGTGCTATGTGTACATCTCAGCAGGGTGGCTAATGACGGTGCTCCCTTTAGACATAGGCTAGCAAAGACAGGTGCAGAAGGAACCACAGCAGGTTTACCAGCTTTAGAGAGGACTACCTGGAGAACTGAGACAGAATCTTTTCCTGGGGCACAGGAAGACAGGGAGAAAGTGGGTGACTGTCTCCTCTTGGCAGATTTATTTTTCTTTTAATTAAGGAAAAAACCAAAAGAACCACAACTGAAGGTAACTCCTCTGGAAATGAAAACGGAGGATTAGGTACGTTACAGAAACTGCGTCTGCTACTGTGTCACTGCTACAGGTCTATGAGCTGATCCACCAGCAGTAAAGACCTGGCTATGTTGGGAAGACTGGACTCAGAGCTTCCACTGTTGTTTCTAGAATGCCCACCTGAAAGTGTGAGAGATAGGAATTCAGTATTGAACAGGACACGCACACACGACAGTTTCAGATGTTCAAGAGCAAGCAAAGAAAGACAAGAGTGAAAATAAAACGGAAAACTTGCTCAAGATCTTCTGTTTACTTGCATCACGATAGCAACAACATTCCCCTGCTTGCTCTTCCACCCTCTCCCTCCCCTCCCAACTTAGCTCCCTGGAGTTGTATGGAAAAACCATGACAGCCACTTCTGTGGCAACAAAGTCTCCACAGACCATTTCCTTTGACTAGAATTTACATCTCAGTTACAGAATTCTATCCTTCCCACAGCATCTACAAGAACTCCCACAACCTATAGAGAAGACTTCGGAATTTTGCAGCTCGAAAATTAGTCGCTGTTTCAAGAATGTCTTTGAACTTCCAGCCACTCCAGGGCGAGTTCAGCTAGCCTATGGCTTTCTACAACGGGTGCTTTGCTAGTGAAGGAAGAGGCTGTCCTTTATTTAAGGTAGCCTCTGTTGGCCCAACTTTGGTAGAAGTCTTCTCTGCAGGAGCAGAGTCCCTAACGTCTGAGAATCTTTTCCAGTAAGTATTAGTCTTTGAAAGCTAGTTTTGGACAGTGAGCAGGTGGTACAGCACACATTGTGCTACAAAAGAAAATGGGAGTTAGGGAAGTCAAGAGTGCTACCATCAAAATAAACACAACCAAAAAAAGGGAGCCCTGGAGCGTGCTTTTAGGCCTATGCTAACGTACCAAAACCTGTAATCAAAATCCTTCAGCAGCTTGACTGCAGAAAGGAGACATCTGACTGGTCAGACTGCAACATGCTGCTTAATTCTGTCCATATAAGAGCTACAAATTCAGCACTATCATTTGTTTCAAGGAAACAGTGCTGCTTTTTAGACTCAGCCATGCATGAGGCTGAAATGGTTTGGAAAGCTCATGTTAATATGATCTAGGTGACAAGAATGCTGTAAGAGGACAGACTTCCCAGTCTCTGTCCTAAGGACTCTGAACCTTCAAAGCTGTCCAAAGGAAATGGGTACCTATTTATCAAGCTTCTCACACTTAGTTCTCACAAGCGTCTTCGAAAAATATCAGAAAGGAAAAAACTCGCTTTCAGCACCTCCCTTTCTTGCACCTTGTGTAAAGCTCGCTTGAAAAAAAAAAAAAGTCAAAGGACCTCCTTCCACTGACTTGAACAGCAAACAAGGATCTCTGAGAACAAAGTTCTCCAGTGCAGTTTCGCCAGTTACTTGCATATGCCGTTTGGCAAACTGGTAAAAATTACTTCACGGGATGCAAAGATGTTTGCATGTCTATTGCATCTTTTTGGATAAGCTATTTTCCCCATAAATAAAGAATCTAGAGTAATTTAAGGGCCAGTATAAATCAGAGAAAAACTAATACTAACACGTGCCAGTGGTAATATCTTACAGTTTACAACTTGCACTGTTTCACATGTGCTGTAGCACCACTGCCCCCGAACTAGTTCATGTTCATGACTTCTTTTTTGCTTTGGCTTTTTCACCCCAAATCCAGGCTTACCTTGTGAATTTTTGGATATCAACACTGGAATTGGGTCAAACTCATCTTCTGTCACTTTTTCAGAGCCCTCAGGAGCATCAAAGCCTGATATCAGGTTAGTATCTTCTGCAGCATAAAGGAGAAACGGAGGTAAAGAAGCAAAGATAGCAGAGAAAGCAGGTTAGAATTGCCAAAAAGTGTTAGGATGTTTTTATGTTTTAGAAGACAGGGTTTAGAAGCAGGAGTTTAATTTAAAAGGTGAAACAAAGCTGGTAAGCCTAAGAAGGTAAGAGGTAAAAGAACCTATTAAATACAAAAGTGGAAGGGGAAAAAAAACCAAACAAACCACAAAGCAAACTGAAAAGTGAGCCTTCTTGAGAACCAAAATAAAATTGGCCCAATCCAAAGGCTTAACAATTGGCCTAATTCAAAGTTGTGGTAAAACCCCGAGGCTTAAGTTCCCAAGGACTGAAAGTATTCTTTGTCATCGTTCAGTGGCTCTCAGACATTAGTACAACTTGAGGGAGCACTCTTGCTCTTCAGTTACCAACTCTCATATAAAGGGAGAGGAGGAGGGCAGGCAAAACAGAGGGAAGAAATTCCAGTTATCTGTGTGAGACAAAGACCTTTCTTGTTTTATCCTGGTGGGCAAAAAACTCAAAGTGCAATATAAAGTTAGTTTTCCAAAGGCATTTAAATGCCTAAAGAGGTAACTACGTACTTAAGAGATTTTAAAAGCCCCCAGAGCAGTTCTGGCACATAGCTCCCTTGGTTTCAAATGATGTCAGCCAGGGTAAGACACTTGGTGGGAGGCACTTTCAGTTATATCCATGCTAGATCTGACATTTATCTAGCTCATTAGGCAATTACACTCCTTTGGGGACTTTTCACGCTCCGTGCATCGCTATTTGTTACTTCAGACACCTAAATACCATCCAGAATCTAATCCTCAATTATTATATGAAGTATTTCTGGGAGCCTAGCAAGGACCTGTATAAGCCTATATTTTCCAAGGAACAGGAACGCTCCTGTTCAATTCGGATCGTGAATAAGAGCTCTTTACCTAAAGCTGACAAACACACTACTAGGTTTTAGGTGAGCTGATGCAAGAAGCAGTTTGTGGAAACGTACTGTCCTCTGGAGGATCCGATTAAGAAAAAACAAGTTCTGTAGAAGACTAGGCCGTAAAATGACAAGAACACACAAAGAATTTGTGTCTTAACAGAAAGCCTCATGTTTGTCACCGCTCTGTCTCTGGAGTTATTTACGGCTCTTCTCAGCCTAGCTGGGATCCGAAAATTTCCAATGGAGCTTATTTCCATTTCGTTCCATTTATACATACAACTGTTGATACATCTAGAGTTTGCTGTATAAGCAGCTATTCAAGGAGCACTGCTCAACTGTAGACTTTAAGGAGAAGAAAAGGCTGGTGAGAAACAAAATGCATTTCTATTTGGACCTTGGGAGATAGATTTCTCTTCACAAAAGCATTTGCGCTGGTCTTAGTAATTACACATCACCGTAAGTGAAAAAAACTCGCTTCTCACATACGTATAGTTCAGCAAATGCAAATTAAAGAATCCCAAAACCTGCGCAAGAATTCAGGGCCCACAAAACACTACACAGCCTCATTGGGCACACAGAAAAGGACACTCTGGCTTGGTTAGAGTATCAATTCACGTCCAAACATTGCTGTCGTTTCAAATCCTCCTGGTCCCACTGATAGCTTGCAGCTTCGCATTTCCACAGGCTGAATATACCATGGACAGCAGCATCGGCACCTTACGTGTGCTGCATCACCCATGCTAGGATTGGGATAAGCATCAAAAGCAATAAATAAAAGACAAATAATACAGGTAATGACCACACCCAGAGCTCTAACAGCAGGGTTTGAAAAACCACAAGTGAGCTTTGGAAGGGTTTAATATCTCGCACCTCTATTTCTCCTGCTAATAAAAGTCTCACTTCTCCCTGTCAAATCTGACCCTACTGAACCCAAGTGGAACAACAGCAAGGCAGCCTGGGAGAAGTCATGCAGAAGTCTGTTAATTCATTTTCTCATTAAGTCACACCAACAACGTTTTGGCCGACTTTCTACTTTGCTATGTTCCAGACATGGCGTAATAACTGCTCAACATACATTTCAAGTCATTTATTCAAAATAAAGTGGCATGGACATGTAGTATAGCAAAGAACAATTAGAAGAACTGCTTGTTTAAACCCAAAAGCTCTATGAAAAAATCACAACCTCATTTTAAAACACCATCAAGTGTAAAAATTGATTGCAGGCTGTTTTTACAGCGATTCCTCTGAGGACAGATCATTTTCTGTTGCTATAGGGACACTTACCACATGAGCTAAGCAGAGCCCATTGTCAATGGGCACCCGGCGGTTAGTATTCATACTTTGGGCCTGTCTTTATTGCCTTGAAAATGGAACAGAAGCCCTGGTCCCCCCCCCCCCCCCCCCCCCCTACCCACCACACCAACAAGCGCAAACTTGGCTTACATGGGCATTGTACCCAAGGAACACAGGCACTGCTCACAACTACTGTGGCCCGCAACAAGAATTTGCCAGAACAGAGCAGGAAAAGTTCACCATACCAGCGGCACTGCAGCTATTCATATATCCTTATACGTCTGTTCAAACTACTCCAGCACCACTACTGCAGCTACGCTGCAGGAAAGGGCCCAGATTCCAGCTGGACACTCTGCAGCTTGGAAAAAGTCACCTGAGCTAGCATCCCAGCTTCCCAGGGTCCTCCACTCTTGCTTGTTAGTGGAAGAGGGAACAGAACCCAGATTACTGTGCAGTACTTCCACATTTTTCCCCAGCTCAGATAGCCACATACTGCAAAGCCTGATCTGCAACTCTTACAAATTACCACACATAGTGGTACTACTACTCTTCTGCAGCTCTGCTTTTTTCTGCTATTGCAAACTATTCTATTTTTCAGTTCAATACCATACTTGGTTTTCTATTCACATTTCCTGCAATGCGATACTGCTGTTTAACTCAAGGGTCCTTTCCTGATAACCTCTAGAAAAAGGAAAATACAGTCTCCAAAACTGAAAGAGTTCAGTCACATGCTATAGACATGAACACTGACAAGAAAAATCCATTGGTTTCAAAGACCTATGACATCAGTAGATAGGATTATCAGGACCCCTTCCAGACTTACTAATGCAGCATAAAAGCAAGTCTTAAAACATACGTGCAAAAGGCAAAACCAAAGTGCATTCATATGCACACCTGAAGATGGGCTGCATACATAAAAGCCTACCTTTTTAGCCTACCATATCACTTGGTCTCACAGGAGATACTACCTGTCTTGACAATCCTTGTCTGTATTTACGATCTAGCTGAACACCTTTATCTATCTTCTCCCCTTGGCATTTCAGTGCACATTACAAGTTTCACCATTTTGGGAATAAAACAGTCTGGGAACAAACACAAGTAGAACATGGGTCGGCTCATCTGCTTGTGTAAAGTGGGATCAAATATCAGATAAAGAGCCAGTTCCAGGAGAGGTTAGAAGTTAGAGACAGAGGCACGGTTTACCTTTGTGAGGTTGAGCTGCAAAAGCTACAGGAGCAAACTCATCCAGGAGGTCAGCAGCAGGGTTAGAAAGCAGAGAACAGTCAAGCAAGGAGTCTTCCCCAGTGAGGGAGTCTGAATCCAGGTTAACATCCAAAGGCCGCAAGGTAGCATTAAACAGGACACAAACACCGTTAAGCTCAGATTTGCACATTCTTGTTTCTGTCCGCTTGGTACACAAACAGGCAAAGCGGACACCTTCCCACATCTTCCACTTTTTCTGGTGGGAAACCTTTCTTACTGTTTTGCAATGAGGGTAAAGGGAGTCCCAACACTTGTAGCAATACGTAGCACAGATTCACTGAGGTAACTACTCTCCAAAGCTAAGTATACAACATTGAAATCCCACAGAAGCGATGGTTTAAATTAGCCAGCGGGGCAGGGGAAAAAACATAGCCCTTACTTCTCGTCAAAGCTAGTCTCACCAGAAACGCACGAGCTTCCTCTGGAAGCACAAGGGTTTTACTGCGATAGGTAGCGCCCACGTTACTTTCCAAAGGACAGGACCCACTGGGAAGCAGAAGTGACAAATGTGCTATTTCAGGCACACTGCCATCCTTCAAGACACCTAGGCAGGTAGGATTCTTGGGAAGCAAGCTGTCAGCTATAGACTAAGCTATAGTAACATGCCCTTTAACATAGAGATTAACAGTAACTGGAATTTTAAATATCTGAAAGCTAACTTTCTGCAGGGCCCTGTAACGCCCAGGGCTGCGGGGACTCTCTAGCAAAGCTATTTCTACTGGCTACTACACAACAGACCTCTAAAAAGAGGACAAGTCCCTCTGTAGCAAAAGTTGTCGGATCTAGGCCTTCAGAACGAGGAAGGGACATGAATTGCTAGCTACTAAGCCCCAGCGGAACAGCTCAGTCACTGCTCTGGCACCTACAGGTCTATAACGATGGACTGAATGACTACTACAAGCATGAGTGCATTTCTTTGCGAGGAGAAAGTAACCTTGACATTTAAGGAAACATGCAAGATCCACTTCAAAACACACAAGGGAGTCCAGTTTAAACTGGTGGGAGAGCAGGGAGAGCAGGGAGCAAAGAAGGCACTTTCAAGCAGACAGCACTTTCTGATTTACTATAACATGGTCCCGCAGCCCACAGAGGTACTACACACCCTCGCCCGCCCACCCTCCCATCTCACCAACCTGTTCTGTTGGAAGCAACCGACTCAGTCTGTGACACAAGGCGTTGGGGCAACGGAGCCTCGAGGCCCGGTATGAGACTCTCAACAGCTACATCAGGTTTTCCTTTCCAAACGCGCAAAATATCAGAGCAGAGGAGAAGCCAGAGGTTAGTTTGCAAGACACAGCACAAGTAGGAGCTAACAAGGCAGTTGTCTGAATCCTTTAGTGACCCCTTAATACATCGGTCAGCTATGCTGGCAGAAATGAGAGGCTAAAGTTAGACTGATGCTAATTGAACTGAATTGAAGAGGGAAGAACATAATAGGCTAAAATACTGTGTTTTTGAAGGGGGGGGAGTTGGGGGGTAGGGGGTCTTTTTACATGTGCAAGCCCAATTTGAAATATCCAGAGGCTGAAATAGGAGGTTAATAACGTCTGCTCTGTAGCTAAGCAAAAGGCCCATGGCTGGGTAACTCATTACTCAGCTTTTGCAAGATCCTTCTCCAGAAGGCAGAAAACATTGATCTCTGAGTAGTCCCCTTGCAATAGAAGAAACAGATCATTAAAATACCCGCTGGGCAGCCCTTAACACATTCCAGGTAAGTTCGTAAATACCCAAGATCTGGGATCTTCCCCCCCTCCCCCCTCCCTTTTAAGGGGCCCAGTGGATCAAAGGCTGCAGACCCCACTGAGACATGATAAAGTTTTGGACCTTGACATCTTATTGAAAATACCAATCCTCTACCTTTCCATTCAAAGCTACAAGGTTGCAACCAGCTAGCCAGGGAACCCTGGCTGCCTGGCTGCGACCCAAACCCATAACAGCAGCTGATCACAACTAACTGCAGCCTGTAATTATTAGTCTTTAGTAGAGTCAGGCATTAAGTCAAAACACAATTCTGTAACACTTCGAGCTCTTTATACTGCCTCAGATACTGTTGCGTCTGGGCTCATCACAGCCTACTATGTTTATTCCGATGCTGTGCCCCAAAGCAAAAGCAGTGCTGCCACCCTCGCCCTGCTGAGGGCCAGTAGAGACACGGACAGGCTAAGTGCCTGGGCCATGGTCACACAGGAAGACTTCACCAGAAAGAGTGGGATTTTTTGGCATCTTCTCCTTCAGGCAACAATTAACTCTTCTACCCAAGATCACAAGAACACAAAAGGCTCAACTATGCCATGCATTGCACTAAATCAATATACCTGGAACGTGAGTTAACATCTAAGTCTTCTCTATTCAGATGAGATTCCCACGGGGAAAATGGTCTACCTGTCTCTGCACAACCCATAACTTCCTATCACATTGTGTTTCACCAAAATCAGCTGCTGTTTCCAGAGCCCAGTAGGGTAAACATGCAGAGTTATCAAGTGGAACAAGACATGTCACAAGACATAACGGAGGAGGGTTCCCAAGTGTGCGTGGGTGTGTGGTTTGGTTTTTTTGGTTGTTGTTGTTTTTTGTTTTTTAATTACCATTCACAGCATCTGAGGTGCTACCGAAAGGGTCAGCGAGAGGCAGGATATCAGGGAGCAGAAGCGCAGTCTCAGGAGATTTGAGTCCCTCAATCAGTTTTTCTGGGTTAAGTAGGAAAAGGAAAGAGGAAGGAAGGAAGGAAGGTAGAGAAAAAGCAAAAACACAAACAAAAACAAAACTATGTTAATCAGGTGCTCAACCCAATGTCTCATTGTCTAGTATGTCAGCCTCAGAAAAGCATCTGCATGACTGCGTGTGCAAATACCACCACCACTTACAGAACATCTTGCCACTAAGGTTACTGGAGCATATTGAGACAGGGCAGCTCTTCCCTGGGTGGCCATAGTCATCTAGACCTCTGAGAACCTTCCTCACCCACTGCATGCTGCTCTCCCTAAGAGGTGGTTGCAAAATAGCATGCAGTTCTTTCAATCCTACCCAAAGCAGTAAAGCTTAACAGGTCACCACTCTGACAACCTGACAAAAAAAAACCTTTCCCTCTCACCTTCATATACTGGGACAGTTTTTGTTAGTCTTTGCATAACAAGAAAAGGAAAAGATGATCAGAAGCCCATAATGCTAGAGTTAGGTATGCAATTATTATTAATCTGCTCAAGAATTAAATGCCTAAGATCCCTAACCGCTTAAGCAAAACCAGAAAACATTAAGACACTACAGTGTCAGACACAAGAACCTGCCCTTGGGTTAAAACAGCTGTCTAGTTACCAATTAGTTTAAATATCAGATTTCAAACGAGGTGCGTCATTCGCAGCAGCGCAACTCCTTTGGTTTCCCTTCTCCTTCATACAAAGGCATTTAGGTTACCTGTTCAAAGAGTATCTCAATCAATAATCTAGTGGATGAGCGATTCTGCAGCCATATTAACCGGATTTCCAATAAGGAGCTTAGTTATTTAGCTTTCACAAGGGTTTCTTCACAGAGCAAGAAGTTAAATAAAGTTTTCAGGATTTGCTAAAAGTAATCGCCTTCAGTAGAACACCACCGGCAAAATTTGCTCCACGTGGACAAATCTGGCCATTTCAGCTTGCTGAGATGACTGCATTTATCATCCAACATTAGCATGTGCTATGGCATGCCACAGCTATGCTTTTACAACACTTTCGCATCTCTACTATTATTGTTTTGAGTTCAAAGTCTGGTAGTAGTATTTACTATTCAAAGAAAGCGTGCTCATAACCGTACAAAAACAGGCTCTGGAATACTGCTGTTTAAAAGACTTATCACAGTGAGAAAGCCAAAGAAAAGCTTAACTTGCATTGTTATGCACATTATAATAGTATCTATCTTCTTCGTTGCCTGATACAAATAAAGTGACCTAGCAGCTTTGGAACTACTTATTCAGAGCAGGACAAATCCTGCTCCCCATGACAAACTTCGCAAACCATGCCCGCTAAGGCAACCCTGAGGGGAAGGCAATCTAAAAAGGGAACTGAGAGGCAGCTGTTACATCAATAAAGGCCTGAAGGTGGTCAACTGAAAGGGAAACCCTGATGGGGACAGCAGCCTTGGACATACTTGAGGTTTTCCCATCCCTACGAGGAAAACCCCATTTTTTAAAGATGAAATTTGCCAAAGAAAATGCACCCCCAACTGCACAGGCATCGTCCTTGGCTTCTCAGCTGCACAAAGCGGGGCTCTTTCCTTGGATGAGCTGGGAGGCTTGGCCAAAACAGAGAAGTAGCGATGCTATCAAAAGCGAGCTAACGGGGACGGCTCCAGCAAAGCAGACAGGAACTGACTGTAGCTGCTGGGAAAACACAACACGAGAGACATCTTGGGGACAAGAAGTCAGGGAACATGCTCAACTCTTTTCCCCAGGAGGGAGGGAAGTGCCAAGATAACAGGTATGCATCCAGAGAACAGTTGATTTAAACAGCATTTTAAATCACTTAATCCAGATAGCAAGGCACAGAACACAACCGTGGGAGAAATTATGGATTGGCTCTCAGAGCTGTGCAGTTTCACTTTGGGTTTGGCTCCTACTTTAAGATGAAGCTTGTAGAGTTATAACATGGCATGCGCGTGCATTTTGAATGTATTTACATTTTAGAGATTCAGGCCTAAGATACTCCTTGCAAAGCCCGACTCTTTGAGGGGGCTTGTCTGCCAGTGCCCAGCTCTTCAAGACACTTGAATCAGCCTGTATCTTCAAAAACACATATGCAGTACTGGAAACCTCTCCCTTTATGAGCCCAGTTCCAAGTGTTTTGTTCCTTGAAGTCCCTCTCCTTCAGCCTTACCTATCTGAACAGTCTCCTCCTTTTTCATTACTGCAGACAACTGTGAAACTGTCTCTTGGTTCGGCAGTAAAAAGTTGCGTATTGAGCTCAGTCACACTTTTTTAAACACTTGGAAATCACAACAACAACGACTGTCTTCTTTCCCCTGTGTCTTAGTTTTCCCTCCTGCCCCAAAGCTCAACCCGTTTTATGGGATGCTTTAGACTGTCGGTGGCTCTTGGCTGTATTTTGTTACTTGTCTCATGATATTTCCTTTGTTTCCTTCATCACTTGCTCTGTCAATGCTGTTATGGGTAGCCACCGCATCTCTTGGTGCATGTTTTAAAAGGAACTCGATCCCTTTTGAGCAAGGCTGAGAAACTCAAAAGCAAAGCTGTCAGGATGAATGGGAAAGCAGACCCCAGACACCTCAGTGGGTTTTAAGGGCTTAGCAGCTAGTTCACCCAATTCCTATTTTGTATTGCATCTTGTACTAATCAGTAGAAACGTGAGCTAAAGTAGAGGAACAGCAGAGTTACTTTAAGCGGTGGGAAACTCATGTTTAACTATGAGCAAAGGAGCTTGAAAAGTTAGCAAAGGCCCAGCAAAATCTATGCTTCTATGTTAGGTAACAGGAATATCCTTTCTACAAGAGTTAGTTTTCTTTAGCACAGCATGCTTATTCAAAAAACACACATGCGCACTAAGGGAAGTTTTTCTGAATCCACATCAGACATTCGTAAGTCCAAGAATGCTACATGCCTTTGCAGTGCCAAGTAAATCCAGCTCTTACGTCTCTGTTCCACCACCACTCCAACTATCAAAGCAGTACCCCAAGGAGGAAACTTTTCATGCACCAGACCGTTTCCCTGCACACGGATATTAGGCAGGTGCAGTTCAACTATATATATGCAGACCTTGAAAGAAAATCAGCCTCTCTTGTGAGACTGAGCTGCAGTTTTGGTCCTCCTACCAGAGGAATTCTCTAGTGGAAGTCTAACTTTCATTTCCAAGAGAAAAGTAGCTTCACCTGCAAGTGAAGTCATGGTTGAGATGGTGAGAAACCAGCAGTGCAAAAGAGGAAAAAAAAGGGGGGGGGATTACCAGTTACCAGTCTCATCTCTGTTACCTGTACAAACACAACCATTGCCAAGTCATGCACATGTGAAGTAATCATCAATCGCAGAACAGACTCCACCAATAAAGCAAACAGCAACGTAGCATGTATCCGCCATTCATGGAGAAGATCATTGCTACAGCCTCGGGTATGGATTTCTTTAAAACACTATGTTCCACCTGCCATTCCCTTAGCAAAAGGTCTTCTACTGGAGGAAAATCAAAAGGGACTTTTTGCTACAACAGCACCAGACTCCCGTGACTCTCAGGGCACGTGGGCACACAACCACAATCCATACTCTGAAAAGGGTAATGACAGGAAAGAATACTGGTTCTGCAGCAAACACTGTTAACAGCAGCATAACAAACTCTTCCATGCTGAAGAAGAAGCATGAAGTTTCGGGGCCCATAACAGCATGTTTTGTGCACATACAGAGCTCAAAGGCTCAAGCATAACAGGACAAAACAGTCTGCACCAAGCACCACGCTGTTCATTTTAGAGTTTTATAGTATCACAGGTTCTCCTGCCTCAGATCCATTAGACAGATTCAGATTATTCAGACATGAACATACAGGTCCAAGGACAAACAAGGTTAAGAGAATATAATCCAACACAAAGATATTTTCTATCTTGTAGCTCCTGAAGGGGCCTCAAAAAATGGCCTTTATCAAACTCCACCTGGGAAGCACGTGCTTTAACCGATAACCACGCTCCCACATGAGGTTGCCTGTTGGAGATATCCTCTCCCCCAGACAGCCTACTCCAAGTCTGTCAGATGGTTTCCAGGTCACAAGCAAAGTAGGCTTGATTCAGGTTCAGGACCGATCTGACCTTTTGTACTTCATTTCGTGGGGTTTTCTGCTTTGCCCATTTTCATTCCTGACAGGATGGCAGCAAGTTTGCGCAGTGCTTCTGCTGGGGGCTTTGCATCAATTAGTAAGGATATTGGCTGAGTAAGCAAGGTTCATTAGCAAACCTTAAGAAGGTGTCAAAGCTCAAAAGCCTGCAGGAGGGAATAGAAAGTGCTCTATCAACCCTTCCTAGAGCTCAAGCCCCGCTGCATATAGTTGCTTTTTAGGCAAACATTTTACTTTCTTCCCAAGTTTCCAGATCCACACAGTAACAAAATACTGCTTTTTTTTTTTTCTTATCATAGTCAAAAGAAGCAAAACACAACACAAAGAAAGCAAAGCAAGAGTATAACCTATATCTAATAGCTCTCACAGGCCACCCCAAGCAACAGATGTTGGTAGCTTCACAGCCTGGAAAACCAAACCCCTTCTTCAGGGAATGAAAGGGAGCGCTTTTCCTCTGCTTGGCACCAATCTAAAACGGGTGTAATGCCACCCAGCACCAGCAGAATTACTCTGGATTTACATTCCGTGAGAATATTTTGGCCTTTCTCTTCAGATCCTGTTTCTTCAACGCATGCACAAATCAGATACTCGAGATGTACAATTAGTCAATTTGCCCAGACTTTGCACCTGCAATACTGCCACTGCCAAAGACTGTAAGTTGGCATGCTGCGTTTGTACTTGCTGATACCACCCTTGAATGACAAAGTATATGCAGAAAGCATCTTCAAAACAGTTGCAGCTATAAAAATCAAGACACAGGGGGAGTAAACATGTCTTTAGCTAGAGCAGGCTATTAGAAAGAAGCTAATCAAGATTTCCAAGGATTTGCAAGTTAAAAAAAAGGGAGCAAAGGGCAAAAAGAAGAAAAAAAACCCACACTATCACAC